ACGCTCAGGCCGTCGGCGCTTTTTCTAAAAAGTCTTCCACTCTCACCCTGCGAAAAGGTGCAGCTCAATACAAGGGATGCTACGCATTCCCGGTTCTTCATTTGCTCACGATTGGGCAATCATTCATCTCTAGAAATGGGTTTCACGGCCAGTTGAGGTTTTCAAGGGCTCGCATGCTGGACAAGTTTAATTCACGAAGTTTCAACTCCAAACCCCTCACGGATGCATGGACAGGTCTTAGTCGCGTTGAAGCATTTGCGCGACTTCGGGTTGAACGAATGTAGGAGTGGAAGGCTTTAAAGGGTTAACTTGGACATGCGCACGAACGTCTTTTGCGGGGTCGTGCGTCCGCGAATATCCGTAAATCGGCCGCGCAAACCCCACAGCTGGCCGCAAAATGGGGTTTTTAACCAAACGAAAATGCGAATTCCAAGGTTCACGAAAGTTCACGCAGCACGCAAGTTCACGCCAAAACACCGTAGTGTAGAGTCTTTTTCACGCAGGAGTTCACGCAAGTTCACGAGCCCCCACCCCCCAAGAAAATAACACGAAAAGCCGAAAAACAGAATCGGGGGTCGCCAGTCCTGAAATTTCAGAAGTTCACGCCCAAAATCGGCCAACCACAATCCCAGAGATGGCCCCTGAAACTTGAGAGCTTGAGGCACAAGAGCCACGACGAGTGCTGCAGCCACTGATGACTAAGGGTGTGTGCTTACGATTTCCAGGAGCACCCCAGCTTTCTTTATGTTTGGCTTCTTTTCCGGGTTTTAGTGGCGGGACGTGACGTGGCTCCATTGACTGCCGGTAATCTTGCCAAGAACATCGTTCCGGAACGCGGAACGGTGGCGCGCAAGCCCCGAAAAATCGGTTGCGCGTGTCCAGGACATTCGCGCAGGCCCTTGCAGGTCTGAATTGACCACCGGCTGACAGACTGCGTGGAGTTCTGTCAGGATTTCTTTTGGGCGTGAAATCACCAAATGGCTGCGAACCGGGATTTCGTGAAATGCGGCCATGCGATTCCACAAGTGGACGTGGAATCCCGCAAGCGCGACACTCGTGAGGCGCCGAAATGCCTTGAAAAGCACTTCTTCAAGGTCAAGAGACGAATCGCCACCCAGTAGCGTGATCAACTGAATGTCCAGGGTTGTCAATACTGTTCCCTACATTGTGCGTCCCACAAGCGCACACGAAGATGAATCAACAAATAGGGGCTTTGTAGATCCGTTCTGAAATCTTTTCCTGCAATGGCCCTGTGACAAGGACAGACGTTTTCTTGGGCACGGCGCGACAAAACCAAATTCGAACACTTAGGGTTTCCCCTTCTCGATTTGGGTCCCGTGAGTTCCCCCGCTGGGCTCGCTGCGCAAGCGAGCACGGTCAGTTATGTGTTCCCAAACCGTTGGCACACATACGGGAACCCCTCGGAATCCCTCTTGGCAGATTGCACATGCTAACGGTGAACTCACATTGACACAGCAAATTAGCCAACTAACCTGAATGTGTCTTGAGTTGCCACGAACTGTTTACCCAATGCGTCTTGAGCCATGTCATCACACGTTGAAGCCGGCGCATGCCCAGGGCAAATCTGCCCTGAACTGCTTTTCTACGGCTTCAATTTCAGGTGCCTAATCCAGCTAGCCAAGCAAATGGCTGCAACTGCGAGACCCGCGCCGTATGAGCAGGCCTGGCTGGGCAACCGGTGGTCTCCCGGGCACCGCGTGCCCGTTGCACGATCATGGTGACGATTGTGGAGCGGTCACAGCGAGAAAGTCCAGGAGGCAAGACCCATCTTCTTGTCGCTCCACATGGGGAGCTGTGTGGGCTTCAAGTTCTTACATGACATGGATCTGGAAGATGGGACGGTCGTCTACAAGCACATCCATGGCGAGTTCCAAAAGATAGCACTACGCCCTATTCGTGGCAATGTAGTGATCAAGGTCTTGGTGGATAAGCCCAAGGTGCGGGTAATGCGGGCTCTGAGCGGGGAGGACATGGATGTGATGCAGTACGTCCCAAAGAGCCCCCCAACCTTCGCCGCTGGCGGAAGACTTGAAGATGAGGTTCGTCAGGCGGGACATCATGACACAGCAGCAAGTGCTGCGCATAGTCAACGACAGGGACGTGCTCGTGGCTCCCCAGGCCAAATTGTGGTCAGTCGCGCCGAAAGTCAAGGTCAAGGCCAAGGCCAAGGCCAAGGCAAAGGCCTTGACCAGGGCCAGGGCCCAAAGTGTGAAGGTCAGGAAGGAGGGAGTGCTTTCCCGAAGGCCAAGGCCAAGGTGAAGTCAAAGGCACATCGCGATGCAAATGGGGTCCGCCCGCGGTCGCAAATATCACGAAACCAGCAATCATAAGAACCTTCAAAACAGCCCGATACACATTAGAGACTCTTTTGCGAAGGCGAAAGTTAGAGTCTTTTAGCCTGTCTTGGTACCTCCAAGCGTCCTGCGACGCTTCTGAAATGGGCGCAGGGAGTTGTTGGCATCGGTTCACCACGGTCATTACCAATTCCTTTACTGTCACGCAAAGATACTATTACATTCATTCGCACTATCATTGTTGTTCTCAATATCATTGCCACGGTCATGGTGGTCATCATTATCAAGTTATCACTGTCATCATGAAATGTTTTTTGCCAGACGCAGGGGCCCCCATAAGTGTCTTTGCACGGGTAAGACTGACACGCCGCCCACAAGCTGCCTCATTGCTAGAATCTATAATTCCGACCCAGTCTGTTCGGGGACAGGCCAGCATCTAAATCATACTTCCATGGCTTCAAAGAAAATGGTGTGGGAGCTAATGTCTTTTCTGCTATTGATCATCCATTTGGGGGCCGCTTTCCAATGAGCACCGTTAGCCCTGTTGGCTATGAGAATCAGCGCGGCTTGTGTTCAATGGTCTCTTGGCGCAGACGTCGTTCCTAGCCATGTCCAAACAGAGCATTTGTCGCAGCGCCTTGGCCGCGCTACGTGATCATGGTGGACGTGGCGAGCGACAAGCTGGACCTGGATACCGGCCCCCAACCACTGGACTCGTGCATACGCCGACGAGCCCTTGGGCATCAAGGAAGAATTCAGCTCGCACGCAAATAACCTCAATACCTTTCGCCCAATGTCTTTTAGGGATTCGCGTGCTCGTTGCTCCCAGTTTACCCCCAACTCCTCAACCATGACCCTGCGCAGGAATTCCAGAGTCCTGCTGGACGTCTGGGGGCGGTTGGGGCAGATCAAACAGATTGGCCGCCTACAGCTGCACTGCGTACAGCCCCCGCTTGAGCATCGCTACGAGGTTAATGGCTGCGGGCTTTTGGCAGCACAAGCCGGCGAAGAAGCAGAGGCTGGCTGTGCCTTGGCTTAACTTGCGTCCGAGGCAGGTCACAGGTGGAGGTCGTTTGGCGGAGGTGCAGAGGGTGCAAATCCCAGCGGGCATTTGTTTTGGTTTTAAAGGTTTGTTTTTCAGGGCGGGCTTTTCGGCTTTTTGGCTTTTGTGGCTCTTACGTGGGTTTTTGTGGCTATGGTTGCTTTTCATATCCCTCTCTGCTTGTCTTTCGCATCCTCTGCATTGCCAGTTCCGCTGCGGCAGGTGGCTTTTTGGCTTTGTGGCTTTTGGCGGCTTTCTGGCTTTGGCTTTTTGCATCCTCTGCTTTCCCAGTTGGTTTTTGGCCTTGGCTTCCTGCATCCTCAGCATCGCAAGTTTCTGTCTAGTACCCCCCGCCACCCCCCTTGCGATTAAAATGCACGCCTAATTGAATCATCACTTTATCGATCATCATGCGACAGCTACTTTTTAGATTCTTTGCCCCTAATTGAATCATCGCTTTTTCGATCATCATGGGGGGGTTGCCGCCCCCGCTGCTTTTTTATATATATGTTTGGCCCTAATTGAATCATCACTTTTTCGATCATTTTGGGGGCGGCTGCCGCCGCCCCTAAACCCCACCCGCTACTTTTTAGATATATTTTTTGGGGGGAGGGCGGCAGCCCCCCCAAGGTGATCAAACAAGTGATGATTCAATTAGGGGCAAAAAGCAGGGGGGGGTTGGGGGGTGGGGAGCAGCACCCCCATGATGATTGAAAAAGATGATTAAATTAAGGGCGCGGGGGGGTTGGGCGGGGCGGCAGCCACCCCCCTTGATGATTGAACAAGTGATGATTCAATTAGGGCCCCCCCCCCGCTACTTTTTGGAGTTTTGGCAGAGATTAACATGCACCCCTAGTTGAATCATCACTTTTTCGATCATCATGGCGGGGGCTGCCGCCCCCCCAACTCCCCCACTATTTTAGGTGTTTTACAGGGCTTAATTTGCCCGTAGTGGAATCCTCACTTTTGCCATAATGAGGGGGATCCGCCCCTCTTTTGAACATGCATACATAAATGCTTAACTACCTTGCCGCAGAGGAGCTGATGATGCTGAAGATGCAGGAAGCCAAGGCCCTCGATTTGCTGGTGATGCTGGGGATGTTGGCTGGACATGTGGGGGATGTTGAAAACGATGCTGATGATGTTGACGGACTGGCGTAAAATACGTACATTTCGCGAGAACATGCTGTAAATTACAGCATTTTAGTAGCCGGGACGGAAAACAATAAAAATCCCAAAATAAAGCACAAAATCCCAAATCAAATCTCGACCCTTTCTTATTTGGCGGCCCCTCCAAAAGTGGTCTGATTCCCCACACATCTCACCCAGGGACGAGCACCTCCCGATCAATAATATGGGGTCAACACGCCCCCCCCCCCTTGAAATAAACAGGGGTTGATAAGTATATTCCAGCCACATTTCACCCAGGTTGACACCTCCCTAAACTGGTTGGTTGAAATTCATACTGTGGATGGACGAAATCCTGCACCACCTTTATGACTCGATTCCCCTATAAATACAGAGAAACCATCATTTCCCATGGAATCAAAGTGGTGCGATCGGATTTCGTCCATCCACAGTATGGGGTCAACATAGGCCATGTTCTCCACCCACAATCGATCCATCTCGGCCATGCTCGCCAGGTCCGGGGCAGGTGTTGCTGGAGTTCTCCCTGGAGACAGAGGCGCCCAGGGTCAGGGTCAGGGTCAAGGCGTGGCCCAGACTTTGAGGGGTGTGGTGGGTTCTCACTAAACCAGTGTGGTTGGTGGTTGGTTGGTTGGTGTGGTTGGTTTGTGGTTGGTTGGTGTGGTTGGTAGTTGGTTTGAGGGGTGGGTTCGAAGGTTGGGCAGAAGGATCTTGGATTCGAATTGATGTGATGCCTTGGGCTTGTTAGCACTCTTTCAATCTGGTCGCCCCGAAATGTTGGGCTCCCTTTGCCGATCAGTGGGCTGGCTGGATTGTTCTGTTGAAAATCGGTTATGTTTCTTGAAGGGGCATGCCTTTCATGGCTGATCCATTGAAAGACAAGAACCGGTATGCGTCAAGAGGATCTTTCTTGGTTTCTTGGTAAGGGAAATCCAGAGACAACCCAAATGAAACCAAACAAGTGGAAAGGGGATTGTTTTGACACTGCCAGCTGAAGTAGATTGGGATCGCATTTGGGGCATAGATGACCCATGCAGCGTTTTGCATGGGTCTATGCCTTTTTCGAAGGTCCTCGCATGGTGGGAGGGACCACCAAGTAACATAGAAGTGCAGTATGGGGTCGACATGACCCTCCCACCGACTACCGAAGTGCACAAAAAGCCCTCTAAGACGACTTTCCTCTTCTTTTTTCCTGGGGGTCCTGGTCTGGACCATGTTTCTTTTAAAGGCCCCTCCCAGCCATGACTTGACTGGTTTAAACCAACACCAATCACCGAAGACATCACTTGCAAGGAGCTTTTGATCAGACCCCTTGTCAGGTGCCATGTTGGGGAGGCTACCTTGGAGCTTTTTGCCCCTCGAGGTGCCTCTCGGCGGCCACCTGCAGCTTCACGCGGAAGGCGAAAAGTGCGCGAAAACGCCAAGGTTTCGGTCGCCGGTTGCAGCTTTTGCTCGCGCCCGGCTTTTGGATGTTTGGACCATGATTATGGTGGCACAGAAAAATGGTTTTTGGACTTCTTTTGGGCCAATTATTTTCGTGACTTGCGTGGTTTTTTGGGTTTGGACCAGGATTTTCGTTGCTTTTTTTTGGGGGGGGGATTTATGATTCTGGTAACAAACTTGACCTGGAATCTCCATGACCAGTAGAAAACGGGGGTCATATCCCCTGAATTTGAGGTAATGACCACATTTTTAAAGGGTCATGGAGACTCCAGGTATTTTGGGTGTTTGGACAATGATTCTGGTCGGTAACAAAAACAAAAGGTTTGGACTTCTTTTGGGCCAATCCACGGAAGTGAAAGGGGTCCGGATTCGGTGTGCCGTTTTTTGAGTTGACGTCCTTTTGCAGTTGGTTTGGGAAAGCAGAAGGAAACGAGTTGCCTTTTTTGGTGGAAGCTTCCCACGTAAAACAAACTCGACTAGAGTTCATGGACGATGGGGAGGTCCGATCCCTGGGCGCTCCTATTGCAAAGCCCGCAAAGAGGTTTCGTTTTGAAGGCCCAGGCGGCTGTGGCAACAGTAGTCTGTGGTCCATTTGGGATGGGAGGGATTCGAAGCCTGGAATTCCAACTGGGTGTGAGCTGAAAAAACAGGGCAAACTTGGGCGAGGATTCATGTCCGCCAATCACTTTTGAGGTGCTTCCCTAGTGATATTTACACCCAATCAAGTGCCATTTCTCTTGAAGACTTACAAAATGAACGCACCCCTCGGGTTCTTTTTGAGTTAGATTCAGATCTTCAGCAGAATCAGCTACTTGCGTAGAATGAACACCGGGTCAGTGACTCTCCCACGAGTGTACTTTCCCCATTCCTGGAAACCACCATAAACCAGGGGGGAGCGGTTGCTTTTTGAAAAGAGGATGAACGGAAAGAACGAGGAATCAGCCAGAAGCACGGTTGGCTTTGGATTCCATGTCAAGGAACCCCAAGTCCGAGTCACAAAGACAACGCCGTACCGCATGCCCCGACCAAAACAGTTCACCAACTTTCCGTAGCTTCTGGACATTTAACGTTCCTGGAAGTCCAACAGTGGTTGGGGGGTGTTGGTGAGAAACAAACACTTTGACCTGTTGCAACTTCTTCTGTCTGTAGATGTTTTCTTTCATGCAGTTGGAATAATATCTTCTAGGTCTCTATTATCAATACTAGGTCCCCCAGTAGTGCCCTTTTACCCTTTTTTGGTTGGGAGGGTTCCCCTACTAAAATAGACAACAGAAAAAAATCGGGTACCCTTATTCCAACCTCTAATTCATGCTTTCAGCCTTGCTTCAACAGAGAGGAGCAGTTGTCAGGCATGCAGCTCACGAGCTGCCAAGCGGCTGAGCAGTGCGAGCCCTACCAACCGCTTCCCGCCGGGAAGCCCAAAGTGTGCTTTCAGGGGCGAGGGGCTGAAGGATCTGAGCTCCGACCGTCGACCTTTGCCTGACTTCGCTGAATATTAACCTGTGATGGTGAACCGACCACTTTTGGAGGGGCCAAAGACCACCCCCCATATTAATAAACTGGTTGGTTGAGATTCGTATGGGGTCAACATTACCGTTAACTTTACATACGGGCATGCGGCTGTGCGATGCTACGCCATCATTTTGTTCGGAGCTACTCGATCGATTTTGGGCGCACACTAGTGAACGTGGCGTAGAATGTTGACCCCACATTAATCAACCCCAGTTTATGAATAGGGGTGTGCTTCTTCCTGGGTTTTGTGGGGAATCAGACCACTTTTGGGAAGGGCCCCCACCCCCCAGTAGTAAACTGGGCTGGATTAATATGGGGTCAACAGTACCTGGACCCCCAATGGGACGATTCCTTTTGCTGCCCACCTGCAAACTGATAGGCCAGCCCACAAGCGCCAAAGTCGTTTTCCCCATGTTGAGAGGACTGTTCGGAGCGGGGCCTTTGAAGTGATCAGGTCGCATGGGGCCAAAGGGTCTGGGAGAGGAAAGGGTCAAGGTGCCTCCTTGGCTGCAGCTTCTTCATGGCTTTGTGACCTTCATTGATCGCAAGGACCTTAGACCTTGGGGAAACAAAAGGTTTTTTTTCAACGAAAAGGGAACGAAGGCTAAGGACCGTTCACCTTAGACCAGGTGACCTTGCCTTTCTTTTCAACCGAGAGAGGTTCTCCTTTAGCTCAAGAAGAGCCACCTGAGGCCGAGTGTTCGTTTGGGTTCCATGCCCTTCACGTCGGTCTCGTGGTTCCGCTCAGAATTCTGGCTGATGGCAAAGGAGCTGAGGAGAGTCAAAGATGCGTCCCCCCCAAAAAAAGAAAGCACACTACCCCCAAGGAACAAAATGGTCTATACCGTAGACCCTGGTATATGTCGGCTATATCGTGGTTGTATATATCCCACTACACTCCTGCTTTGGGGAAGCCACTGAGGGAGCATCAACGTCAGCAACTAGGCTTCTTTTTTCCTGACATGGACACTTGAAACTGGACCAAAATGCGTGGGCCAGTCATATGGATATCACTGGTCCTTGTGTAAGCATGGTTATAGGCCCTGGAAGGGGGGGGGGGGGGGGGGGAATGTCGTGTTCAAGCAGTAATCCAATCCAGACTGAATCCCAGTGGTTTTCCCTTTTGGAAATCAACCCCCGGGTTTACGTCCACCTTGACGTCAGAGAATGGAACCTCAAGACGAGTCCCGGTGCAACAGGTCCTGAACTGCACCGGCAACAGCCGCACACTCGGTGCACATCCCTGCCGATGGCGGGTTTTGCCACGGTTCCCTTTGGTGGTTTTGAAGGTCACTTGTTGGTTTGAATATGACCCTTGGCTGGGTTGTTCGAAGGCGATCTGCAAGATCCTTGCCTTTTATGGGTTACGAAAGGGGGCCTGGTTACGAAAGGGGGCCTGGTTATACAATCGATACACTGGGGAGTATGCATTAGGATTGGCCAACGTTCCATTTTGAACAGCTAAACTGGGGCAAGTTCAAGTAAGTGAGGATCCTTTAAGGGGGGATGATCTGTTTAAGCGGCAAATTTCGGGAACATTCAGGAGCCCTCTTGCAGTGAGCCCACAAAGTGCGGGGGAAACGCACCATTTGGGTCGATTCGTGTGGTATATGTTCTCGCCCCGGTTTGCACCAGGATTTGCCACCTTTGTCTATATTTCCATCATGATGGTTTCCCCTGCCTCCCTATCGAAAGCAGGAAGCCTAGGGTTGCGCTTTGTATGGATGTGTGCAAAATCCTGTGTGATTTGAAGGGGAGCAAGGGTTCTGATACCCTCAAACATAGACATCCAGATGTGGATTCGGCTAGCTCCTTGAGGTGTCCCGTTGCCTTCCTGGGGGGGTTTTCCTTGTTCGCTCTGACTTGGGTTCCTGTTCTTTGGCGTTTTGGTGGTTGGTGCTAATGTACATGGACACAAAGGCCAGCCATATGCTCAGACGAGGCCATTGCATCCGTTCGGTTTGTTTGGATATTCAACACCCTTCGGTGGACAGATTTGAGTTTCCTTTGGGGGACAGTGCTGCAAGGAGCATCATATGGGACCGTGTCTCAGAAGGAAGTTGCATTTTTGCAATCCCAAGAGACAAAGCCTTGCTCCCATGCAAGTGCTCAGTTGTTCAAAGCCGAGCTTTTGACCTTTCGGATTTTCCTTCAAATGTTGATCAAGTTCCCCAAGGGTTAAGTTTTTACTTCCAGGTCCCTTGAGATGTGGTGCAAGTGTTTTGGCAAAGTTTCGGTCGATGGTTTCAATGAGTTGCGAGGTGTGCTTTCGGCGCCAGGCTAATGCCTACTTCACATTTAGGGAAGATCCTTTTTGAGACAAAGGGATAGCGTGTAGCGGCAACGGCTTCTGTTGGTTCCCACTTGCAGGCCCCCCCCCCCCCCGCCGCTGTGAGTGTCCATCAAGCGGTCATTGAAGCTCGATGAAGCAATCAAACTATACGTCGCCTCCGCTCGACGAAATGGTGGCATGTTGGGGCGTCGTTTCTCTCAAACCGCCCACTGGAGGGTAGTTTTGTGGTGACCGGACAGAGTCGCACCCATTCAACAAGCCACTGGAGGCACCATCTTTATGCGGCACAGCAGCGCCATACCGCCCGGAACCCTGCGGTCCAACATGGAACCCACCAGTGGGTCCCAGGAAAATGGTAAGAAAAGCCAGGACCTTGTTTTTTTTAGGTTCCATGTTAGTGGACAGGAAGGTAATAGGAAACCAGCCATTTTCTTGCTGGTGCGAAATCGGTAGGGAATGTGGTTGAATGAACTTAGTTGTTGTTGTTTTTGCTTTGGTCCCCTTAAAGGAAAGTACCAGTTGGATGCGTTTATAAGGGTCAAGCACCAACAAGTTTTTGTCCAGACACCCTAAAGAAGCACAAGGCTTTTGTTTCTGGGCTGGTCAAGGATAATCCGCAAGAACCTGACCTTTGGTTGGGAATGGAATTAGTCCAAGTTGTGGTGGTTTCCTCCAGAGATTGAGGATTAGGATTGGCCAACCCCTCCGTTTGACCAGCCAAATTGTTTTTCACTGATGGTGTTGCCTCATTGCGTGCAGCGGCTTTGCTCGCGTTCGTCGCTTCAGCCGTGCTTGCGCGGAAGTCGGTCTTGACGGCAGCCACAGCAGTGGTGGACACACAATGCAAGATTTGTGACTGCGACTGGGGACGAACTCGCCTTGCTCTCGCCGAGAATTGCTGGAGATGGTCTTGCTCGAAGATACTTGACCACTGTCGCGCTTGGGTTCTTGCCGAAGGAAGATGAAGCAAACATGGGGGCTCTTTGAGCGAGCTTTTGCCTGGCACAGATACCCTTGCGATGATGTGCTTCATTTTCTTCATCAGGTGCGTTGTGATGAAGGTGCTGGTGGGTTGGCGGCAATTTGCCGCGTCCTTCCTCGTCAACTCGCACAGAACTAACCTGTGCGAAGCTAAAACCAAGGATTCGGGTTTAACCAAGCTTTTTCCAGACCCTGTTTTATAACACTACAAAGATCAGACAAACAACGGGATCTGGTTCGAAGGCAGTGAGGGAAGGTTTTGGGAGCCGTCGCAACCCGGAGAGTGCAGCATGCGGCAAAGGTCCGCGGGCGGTTGACGAACGATTGTGTTCGTTCACCTAACGTGCTTACTTCAGATAAATCCGCCCCTGTACTGCTTCGATGAATGCTAAGTTACATTGAGCAAACACCATGTATTCATCCCTTTGGCTTCCCTCTCAGTTGGATTTGCAAGGACCCCGAGGGAGAAATGGGTCATACTACGGAGCCCTTATGTAGGGCGTATACACATTTTGCCCCGAGAGTTGGTGATTGGGGGGTGTTAATTTGTTTGTCTCAGAGCTATGGACCTTGAATTGACGGAAGTGGCCAAGCTCGTCACCGCACCGGCACGCCAAACCACTCCCGACGAAATCCTAGAAGGAAGCTCCATGGTTGTGTAAAACATGTTTTTTTGTGTTTTTTTTTGTTTTTGTTCGGATCCCCCGGACAAATTCCCCTTGAAGTTCAGAAACTACAAGCCCTTGGGGCGGAAAGCAAATGCGGGCTGCTCTTACGCTGTGCCTCAATATGTTTGTTCGAGTGATCGAATGCTTCGTCACTGCCTATGTTATCGCCTCACCGATTCGGGGTGAAACGAGCTGATGTAGTAGGTCCTTTGGCGATTTCATTCTCGGATTTTGAGCCTAGTCACAACACTTGGGGCAAATACCATCCCACCAATCAGCATGAAACCTGAAAGTCCCTTGACAAGGAAAATGGTCTTCCCGGGCCCCCCTTGTCAGATTCCATGTTAATTGGTTGGAGGGTAACAAGGATTGTGTTGAACACGATGCACAGATAAATGCACAAAGCAGCTGCCAATCTGAAGATCCAACTGCCCAGCAGCCCCATGCCAACGAGGTATTGTAACAAGAGTGCGTTCGTTGGCTGGTGCTGGCGAGGAGCCAACATGAATCCAACACACCCTTCCGGGTTCAAGTCCGATCACGTTGCGTGTTCATGCCCTGTGCGTAGATTGTCTGAACCATTGAATCTGACTTTGCCTGCCGCAAGAATGAGCTCATGATCTCTTTGAATCTTTCTTACACAGTACAGACTCGGTTTATCACTGGTCCAGTTCTTTCCGTGTCATGAGGCCAGCTCCTGTTGTCTCCTGTTTGCTTGTTTTTGGGGCCGAGCTGTTTTGTCGCTCTGCTCGGGGGAGCAGCCCCAACTCTCTACCGATGGACAGACTCAGATAAAACCTTGTTTCCCAGCGGGTTGCTTCCCTTTTTGCAGTTTGTTTCCGGTTTTTGCAGGTTCTGTTGAAATTCAAAAACACGGGGTTTGGAGTTCCGAATACTAAAGTAATAGGTTCCCTTTGGGTTGGATGCACAAAAATACGAGGAAGGGGGGGGGGGGAGGAGGCTGGGGTTTTGCAGCGATGCGATCGTCTGGAGGCCTGGCCACTGGTGCTTCATCCTGGAGGCATCCTTCACTGAGGCCCCGTGACCCGTGGCTCGTGCCGGAAACCCCTCGCGCGAAGCCCCGAGGGTCCCTTTGGTACCGTCTAAGGAGGTACTTATCGTACCCCCCAAGAGCCATCCACATGAGGTACTTGGACCCTCTGGGGGGGTCCTAGGGAGGCGCAACCCTGGTGCATTCCAGATAGGACTTCGGCGATTTTCCGACAATGTTGGGGAAGCATTCGTATTTTTTGTCTTATGGTCACTTGCGAATCGACCTTTCGGGCGTTTGGGTTTTGTTTGGGTTTTGTTTGGGTTTTGTTTGGGCTTTGTTTGGGCTTTGTTTGGGCTTTGTTTGGGCTTTGTTGACCCGTCCTGGCCAATGGAATGACTCGGCAGAAGGAAGGAGCCCAAGCAGGAAGTCACCCAAAAGGGGATTCCTCTACACTTGACTACTGTTGGGTTGAACTTTTTGTGCTGAAATGTTCGTGCTTCCCCAGGAACTGTTTGCAACTCGGAACTTTTCGTGGAGGCAAGCATGGTTTTGCGGTTCCATGTGAGTCTGGGGCTGCCTCCTCATTCCCAGGTTTCTTGGGCCCGCAAAGCAGATCAATCATGTTGCCACTCTTGGGCAACCTCTTCTTGGTTCCTTGCCAAATGGCCATGGGTGGCATAACCTATGGCGAGCCATTTTGGGGTGGATGAAGGTCCGTCACCTATTTTGATGTTCACCAGGGGTGCAGGGTTTGACCCACAGGCAAATGAGGCTGTGCACGACCTGGGTCTGGTTTGTTGAAGATGATGTTGCAACCAAGCGTGAAAACTGAAAGTCCGATACCAGGCCGGCTGCTGTATGCCAGACCTCCAGTGGTGCATGCATTTTCTCTTGTGTGGGGCGTGTGTCGTGTTAAAGTCAACCAGCCCATCGAGGTCTGAGATGCCGTAGATGTTGTGGGTTCTTTTGAACTTTTGCACATCGGATTCCAGAAGGTGATCGATGTGTTGCTCATTTGGGGATGAGTTGCAAGCACACTCATTTCCACCGTGCACAAGCTCATGTTTCCTCTCGCCATGGGCCTTTATTGCAACAGAGTGCAGTATCCTTGACGGCTGATTCCTACAGCCATTTGCCCCTTTTGCATAGCGCCCCCCCAAGGCATCAATAAGCCCAGGTCAGTTCCATTTGTTGATTGCTCCACGGCAGACTGAAACCCAGGGGGTTGGTCAATCTTGGCAGGACATTTCCTGGTTTGAAGTCTACCTCTTACCCCCCCCAAAAAAAAACACAAAAAAGAAGCCTTTGTGAACATGGACCAAACACAAGGGCGGTTACCCCAAAAAGTATCTGGCCTTTGACTCCCTCCAAATGAGTATCGCCTGTCAGCAACCCCGGAACCGGAACGGCGGCCCCAATGGAAGCCTGTCAAAAAACAACATAGACCCACAAGCCAATAGGTGAAACGGAGGTCGAAAAACAGTTTGGTGGTTGGAAAAAACGGGTCCCCCCGAGAGAAGTGGTTACGTCTGTAGAAGTTGCAGATAAATGTGATCAGCCAGGACACTACGCCGCTCTTCACATTGCAAAGCTTCACCTCAGAGACTGAGGCAGGCTTCGGTTTTAGACGTGCGCTTTGGACGCGGACCGGGGAGCGGTGTGGGCGCAAGGCGATGCAAGGCGTGTATCTGGTCAAACTATAACGCTTTCCTTGGTGGGCGTGGAAGGGAAAAAAGAAGCTCACCTGTAGGGGGATTTCTCGTTTCCGGTTGATCATTTGCCAAGATGGGGCCCTGCTCGCAACCGCTTTCAGGGACATTGGGTGCTGCCTTCAAGCTGGGTTCCAAGAGCTATGCCATACTTGAGCTTGGCATGTCTCGATTTTTGTTCCCCTCTCCTTAGCAGCGTCAGCTACCCAAAAACAGAGGCCCGCCCTGTTGTCTAGAGGTTTGGGAAGCCTTCGCCGGTTTTTTTTTGGATGACTGAACGGCTGTGAAGCTCAATGTTGGAAGCACTCCCCTCTCCATTCAGCTTCCCAAAATTGGATGCGCACCTACTGAAAACGTGGTTCGCACCTACTTGAAACATGGCTTTTGGGATGATGAGGGGCTTCGGGTACTTAGTTTGAAGAGCCTAGAAATGTAAAAACCACCATTTTGGAGCCCTGATTTTTGTGTGTCTCTGTTTTTGTTGGTGCCCGTTTTTATTTTATTTTTTCCGGGGTGGGCAGAAGACAACCCATCCCAAAGAATTCCGCGGGTCTCCGATTTTGGGATCCCATACGAGCCGCCCACGTCGTCACGTGAGCCACAATCAAAACCCGGGTAGATGATCCGGTTAGCAAGGGGCAGTCCCTTTGGTATAAATAGCTGCGGATATCCGCCTTTTGAATTCTTGAAGCATGGTTCTGGGATTACGGCCATTTTGAGAATCCCAACCCATAAATAATTAAGTAGCCGCGGACCTCCGCCTTCTTAATGTCTTCTTGATTTTTTCTTAGACCATGTTACCGGGTTTTGATTACTCACGTGGAACGGAAGGTGGGAGACGTGGCGGCCACTGCCTTGGGCTTCCGGGCGACCAGAGCCATGCCCTTCGCCGGGGCTCTCGGAATGCGCGCGCTTCGGGATGCGCGCGCTTCGGGGTTTGGGGCTTGGCCCAAGCTTGGAACAGCTTCCCTGGCTTTGATGCATTTTGCTTGGATGTTAGGACTTTAACTTTTTGCCAACTAATGGGTGTTCCATTAAACCACTAAAAGTTAAACTTTTAGAAGGGGAGCAGATTTCGCAACCGAGGTAGAATAGATCACCAGCCATGTTCCTTTATGTTTTTTTTTGGTCCAGCCATGTTCATTTGAATTAGTTCTATAGTTCCGGTTCCTTTGGTCCAGCCATTGTTTGCTTTGGGTTTGAAATGATTCCTTTGGTTACCTAGTGGCTTGCCTCGAAAAACTGGGCCTGATGACGGTTCACTTCCACCTGCTTAAGAATATGTGTTTTTTGCTTTTCCCCCTGTTGGTTTCAAAGAGAATCTATGACTGCTGGACATATGTGTTTTTTCTCCAGGTGGCTTAAGCAAATGGAAGTTCATGCTCGCGACTCGCGACTCGCCGCGAGGCAGAGATCGTGCACGACGTGGACTACGCCCTCACTGGCGCGGGGGCTTTGGTTTTGGGGACCCAAAGTGGGAGAGTGTGTCAGGGAAGGCAACCAACTCCAAGTTTCAGTCACAACAGTCCGGATAGGAGGGGAAAGGCAAATTTGCCTTTGCCATAGTCACAATTTCAAAAGTCGCGCATGATTGGAGGGCAAGGGACGATCCCAGCCATGGGTTGCTTCTCCGTTCGAGTTCTTTACATGGTTCTGCGTCCATGTTTGCACCGGTGGGATTTGATTCGGCCTCAGCCTCAATGCTTTGGGGTTGCAGGATGGCTTCTGCGGGTCCCTTCCTGGATTTTTGGTTGGGCCCTTTGCTGGCAGCGGACGGATTCTTCCAGTTGCTTCATAATATTTGTTATTTTCCCCTGTTGGTTTAAAGGGAATCTATCACTACTGATTGTTTTGCAGGGGTCTTAACCAAATGGAAGGATTAAAACAATATTCACCCAAAAATGATCGCGATCCGGATCCCTCGTCAAAGGAGACATACCCCAATCAACGTCAACCAGATGAGTAAACCTGGGTGAAGCTTTTTTTGGGTGTATTACTAAGGAAAGCCGAGTGAATTTTAAAACATCCCATAGAATTGTCCCTCATAATTCCTGAACACCCAGTTTTGTGTGTGTGTGCGTGTGTGTGTGTGTGTGTGTGTGTGTGTGTGTGTTTTTTTCACGGTGTTCCCCAAACATTGTGCTTTTCCCTCATGTCTTTCCGAGCAAACCAGCCAACTACGGATATACCCAACCACAGGGGTGGGGGGAACGGACTGGGAACCATCGGGAGGGGAGGTATCGGAACCACACCCAGTGGGTCCTTTTCCGCCAGGCCGGGACGACCACCCGGGCCAAGCCTCGCAGATTGTACTGAGCTTCCAGCTACGGGAAGCGCCCGGACGCCGAGACATCGCCGGGTTTCCGGTTGTTTTTTGCCTGCAACAGCTTTGTTTAAGAATATGATCAAATTTCCCTTGGTTTGGTTAAGGCATGAGTTGTTTCTCCCTTTTTGGTGTTGAAGGAAGTTTATCACTACTGGGCATATGTCCTGATCTTTTTCCAGCGGCCCCAATCAATTGGAAGAAAGGTGACCCCAAAACAAGGTGACAAAAAGAAACACGACAGACCCATGTGAACATATAGGCGTGTGTGTTTGGCGGGTATCCTGTTGCGGTTTGATGAAGGGAAACTGACAGGAGACCAATTCTTTGTTGGTCCCCCATTGAGAGACGAACCCAGATTGGTGTCTACGTGGCTTTGAGATGTCAGTATTTGTCTGGTGTAGCCGGTGTTCTGCTTGGATGACACACAAAAACAATGCTGAAGCCCGTTTATATGGCCGCATTTATTTACTTGGCTTGACTGAATGCTGGTCAGACCATATTGGCCGCATCACTTGGCTTACAATGATGGCTACAATAATGGTGGCTGCAACGTATTGAAAGAGATACTAGCCTGCAAACTACCATTTCGCTCCTATGCACATGCCTGGTTTAGGTGTCAAAGCACCTAACCCCTTTCAAAATACTTAGTCATAGTCCATTCTATTAGGTGGTTCGACCTTGTCTTGACTAGTGGCTTTACAAGGGAAGCCAAATTGAAGCCAACCGGGGCTTGATGCGCCTGAACGTTGCGGTGGTCGGGCTTTTGCCCCCCCCCCCCCCCGCCCGCCGCCCAGAGGGTGTTGGGCCATGCCTGCGCAGCTCAACCAGGGCTGCCTAAAGGATACATGTTGGCTACACACCAAGCTGACTTTAGAGGATCCGTGGGATGTATCTCGGAATCTTCTCGGCAGCCCAGTCAAACGTCAAACCTTGCTTCATAGCTGGTCTTCGGATGAATCTGTTGGAAAACACACTCGAGCTGTCACTGAACCTCCAAAAAACAAGGCTTGGGTCTTCTTTAGTAATTTGCCCCCCGCCCCCCCGGCCCACTTTCCCCCACCCCCCAACGCAATGGGTTTCCCCGTGGTGGCGGCGGCGATGTCCGTTCCGGATGGACAAATCCTGCACCATTTGCCCTCGCTATATGCACTTGCTTTTTTTTTTCTCCCGGTGCTCTTCCGGTTGCCAAAGCTGGCGCGGTATTGGTTCTGTACTGGCATCTTAA